TTCTATATAAAGTCCCCCTAGAAGCTTACTAGATAAGTCACTTTTCATATCATTAAGCCACTATGAAACAGTAATGTACAGTTGAGCGAATAAGTTGTTAGTTCCATTAAGTTTATTAAGCTGCTAACAGATAGGCCCTTAGGTTTTATACCTGTAATTTTTGAGTTTTACTTTTCGCTTACTATGACAGCAATTTAGATGTAATTTACTATTTTAATTATAAACTAATTATAATTTTCCTTTTCTTTTAAGTCCCATAGATTGAAATAAATTTTCCATTTTGCTAATTTCATTTGAAAAGGGGAAAACTGGGACAGAATGAAACACAATCTTAATCTAGATATTATCTTTTTACCATTCTATATTTTGTATTCGGGGTTTTGATTTTTATGTCCCCTCACAATTGTATTTTTTTATTATAATTAATAAAAATCAACATAGGGATAAGACACTTGGTTTGAATAAGTTCTAAACTCTTCAAAAAATCGCATGTTTCGTTGTTTCATTGACTTAAAAAAATAGACTTATAAGCATTTTTTATTATTTTCGCAAAGAGCATAAAAAATCTTAGGACCGGCTCTGTGAGTTGGATGTGTTTGAATAGTTTGAGGATATTTTGCACACCCCTACGGTTGACAAGGAAACCGGTCCGATCCATGTTACAATGGGTCGGTTTATTTGATCCGACAGCAGCGGTGGTTTTCTGAAACTTAAAAACGATACTCCACGAGAAGCGCCTATGGCACGTGATGACTGTGTACACTGATCAGAAGAAACGGTGTCGTTCCAATGATTACTAATTTCCTACAAATTTTTAAAGAATCAGCGTGGATATTTTATCCTACGCTCGCATCTACCGGATCACGGCTATCAGAAACCCTAAGGCCAAAAAGAAAAGAGAAAATGTAATTAATAGCCACGCAATAAGGTGGGACCCATCAACACGCACTCCATAACAAAAGAAACGAAAAGCATTCGAATCAAATTATGGAACTTGGTGAAAAGTTTCACTTAACCCCCTTACTTTTTATTAGTTACACTTTGACACCTTATAGTTTAAAAGGCAACAACAACGAATCTTGAATGGGTTACGTCTATGAAACACATATCTAGTAGGGTGAGACTCTTGTAGGTAGTCGATTGACGTATCTTTAGTTATTTACTGAACAATATATAATATTGAATCTAAAACTCACTAATCTATTGATCATTTTAAGCAAGTTTCAGACACTTACATAATAGATAACTGATTATTTGTTAACCTTTGTCATCAAACTTTAGGGACTGTTTTACTCGAACACTTACTCGATAAATGCTTATTGGTAAAATTCAACAATATCGCTTAGCTTACTGGGTAAGATTTAGTCCATCAAAACCAAATTATATTCAATAATTTACCCAGTAAACATTAACTAGCAAAAAGGGTCATTTCCCCCAGATCTCCTAAAATACTCAAAATTGATCAAAATCCACAAATATGTAAAATACATCAAGATGAATATTTTGGGAGACTAAATTGAAGTATTTTGATGATATGTATTAAGGGGGTGTTTGGGATTGCTTATTTAAAACAACTTATGTTTTTTTGTAAAAGTGCTTATTAACTTATGTGGTATTAAATCGGAGTTTTGTAAAAAGTGTTTGGATTTGCTTATAGCGGTACCAAACTGCAATAAGCTGATAAATTGTTTTTTACTGTTTGGCAAATTTTGTTTATATTTGTAAAATGACCAAAAAGGACAGGAAGAAGATTGATGTTGTTATCTGGAGAAGGGAGAAGATTGAGATCGATGTTATTTGGAGGAAAAAAGATAGGTATAAATGGTAATAGGGTTAAAATGGTAAACTGGTAATAAGCAGTTTTTCATAAGTCAGGACAGATTAACTTATCAAAAACTGCTTATTACCGGTTTGGCACCGGTATAAGCAGTTTTATTTTTTATTATCCAAACACTAGGTATTAGCTTATCACCGATGCCAGACTGAAATAAGTCAATAAGCCGATACAATAAGCAATCCCAAACACCCCCTAAGTTTAAATAAAGATAGTCTGAACTCACAATGTTAGGTTTTGGAGAAAACCTAGAAACCAAACAAAATGGTGAAAAGAGGATAAGATATTGAATCACTAGTCCAACCCTTGAACCGTGCAACCTTGGCCGCGGATTCAGGTTGTGATCCAAGTCGCATATCTCACTGATTAAACTTTTTTTTTCATAGATATACTCACAAAGCTTTTTACCAAAATATTACCCAACATAAATCTCCATTAATTAAATATCTCTAAGGCCAAAACTAAACATTTGAATTCAAAACGAAGGTATATAAAAAAATCTGGGTGCTACATACTGAAACACAAAGTCTAGAACTAAAGTCATCACTAGAGTTGAAGACTTGTTAATTGAAGACCATATTTTATAATATTAGACAATGAAGACTCAATAACCTTGAAGTTAAGACATATTTAACGTTGAAGTCAAACAAAGTGTCGTTGACACCAAGAAGATGTTACCACTGAAGATCGAGTCCTAATGAAACTGAAGTTGAACATTTGTAAAGCTAAAGCTTTAATTGACAGAGTTGTTACCAAAGATCCTAACCAACTTCAAAACAACTAAGTATCACGAGAAGCTCAAAAGCGAAGACTTTCTTCTTGCATATTCAAAGTCTAAAGCTCAATCAATGACTGATGTCTAACAAGTAATGTCCAACAGCTGAGTAAGCTTCGTCTTATTCAGTAAATGCAAAAAAAAACATATTATTGTGGACCCACATGTTGTTACAGAAAAAGGAGTTATAGTTAAACCTAGGGGTGCTCAAAAACCCGATCAACCCCAACCCAACCCAACATGAAATAATCCAACCCGAAGCAACCCGATGTTTAATCGAGTTGTAAAATTGTCAAACCGTGGGTATTGGGTTGATATTGGGTTACTATTATTTGAACCCAACCCAACCCGATGAATCCGATAAACCCGATATTCTTTTACTTCTTGGATTTAATATGATTGTTGAATTTATATTAATATATACATTAGACAATTACACTATCATGTATGTTTTTTATATACACATATTTTCAATCTATTCACATCTTTATATAACTCATTCGTATATATGTTCAGTAACTGTGAACATATATATGTAAATTGAGAAAATTAACTGAATGTGATATACATAAGAAATATGGATAAGTTGTTTCATATGGTTGATGATGAAAAAGAAATTATGAGTAGAGAAATAACATATTAAAGGTTAGAAGAATATTTTACTGTACCAAAGTATCAACCCGACCAACCCGTACGGGTTGGGTTAGGTTGGGTTGGGTTAAGATTTTTTCAAACCGCAAACATTGGGTTGGGTTGTTCAAATGTCTTCAACCCGATCAACCCAACCCATGAGCACCTCTAGTTAAACCTGATAATACATTAGAGCATGTTTTATTTAATGCAATACGACTTAAATCAAATACATCATGTCTTGTATATAGTGTATTATGGGACCATAAAGCTCGACATAGGAGACCACTATACCACTCTCGCTCAGAATGGCAAGAAGATCAAGCAAAGATGATTTGTTGTCTGTTTTTATCCTGTGGAGAAAGCTATTTGTTTGGATGTCAAGAACTCACATCTAGTGTATAAATACCATAGAAGACTTCCAAGTAAATAGAGTCGGTTCGAATATCTCAAAAAGCCAAGCTTTATAACATTCGAGTGTTTGTTGCCCTAAGAAATACGCATTTAGTGAGTGATTCTAATATTTTAATTTTTTAAACACACATGGGTCATCTTGTTCAAACTTCAATCACAAAGTGAATTAAGTTTATCTTCCACACAAAATTGTGAACCGAATGTTAAAACTTCACAACCTAGAACTATACAGGCAAACGTATCTTGTTCTTGACAAGTGTGATGTTTCTCATATGACCCGTAATCATAATGTAGATGTTGGGTTAGACTCAAGTGGCAATAAGGGATGTTAGGGGCCGTTTACTAAACACTTATCCGGGTAAGCATTTACCAAGTCATATTACCTTAGCGGATAAATATATGATAAGGATAAAAAATCTTACTTGGTATTGATAAGAGCAAGACAAAGATCAAGAGTCTTACCCGGTAAGTGAGAGTGACGACACTTACCACTGTAAGCGTTTACCGGGTAAATTGTTGCATACAATGTCATTTTGGTAGACTAAAATCTCATCTGGTGAGTAAGTTATAGTATTAAATTTTATCGGTAAACGCTTACCGGGTAAGTGTTTGGTAAACAGCCCCTTAGTTGGTGGCCAAGTTAACGAATAATAGTTGGTTAGTTTTTTTGGTTAAAATTGCATTAACAAGAGACTTTACTTGGGTTAACAAATAATAATCAGTGAGTTTTTTTAGTTAAAATTGCGTTCATAAGGGACGATACTTGGTGCCCAAGTTGTTCTACTACACTTTTTTAGTTTCCTAGTACGTACTAGTAAGAATATAAGTCTTATGTTTATTTATATGAAAGCACTTATCAACTTACACCGGTGAGAGTTTGTTGCTTATTTGAAACAAATTATCATTTTCTATGAAAGCACTTATCAACTTATTATAAGTCAGAAGGGTTTAACTTCTTCAAAAACTTCTTATTACCAGTTTGACACCGGTGTAAGTTGTTTATCCAAACACTCAGAAGTGTTTATTACCGGTACCACACCAGAATAAGTCAATAAGTTGTTCTTATAAGCAATCCCAAACACCCCTAAGATATGTTGGATTATTTTGGGTTTTAAAAAATAGAGAGGGTTAACTTCTTTAGTTCATAGTTGTATTCACTTGTACATGGTTTCTAGGATTTAAAATGATAAATCAATGTGGTAAATGAGTTCAAATTAAAAATGTCAAAGTATGAGGGGTAGATTGCATAAAACTAAAAATTGGAAGGACTAAAAGTTAAGATTTAGAAAGTAATTTATATAATGTATAGATACACACAACACACACAATCCTTTGGGTCATTCAATTCACAGCTTCTATAAAATCCTTTTCCCTTTCCTTGCGCCACCCTCCTCCTCCTCCTCCTCCACCATTCTCCCCCATCTCATCTTCTCCTTCAAAAGTAAAACTACACCCATTAAATCTCTCTTTTCGTTTCTGTAACGGTGACGAACCAAGGGAAACCAACTCAGATGATGACAGACGACTGGCTTACGGCGGCGTTGACGAACGACGCCATGGTGGTGGAGCTTCTGATACGTATGAAACAACCTTCATCTCTAGATTCATCATCACCAACGACTACATCGACAGCGTTGTTACCTCCGATTAGGTGGGGCCATCATAAGTCGCGGTCGAAACCATTCCCTATCACCACAACGAACGCCGCCGCAGCCGCCGCAGCCAGTGGTTTCGGGAAAGAACAACAGAGTGGTAGCCCAACAACGCCGTTGTATTGGAGAGGTGGCGATGGTGGTGGAGGAGGTGTTTCGACCAGCGACGGTTACGAAGAATCTAGTCGCCCTTCAGATCTCTCATCCGGCGGTAGATCCATCAAGGTTTGTATGTGTAACCCTTTCTCTCGTATCTTCTCCACCTCTCCGTCGGGAAGAATCTTGACTTGACCGATATACCCTTTGTGTTATCCACTGATTATAACATTACTTCCACTTTTGCTGGGTCGTCCGTCGACTGGATCTGTGCCACGTTCTATTTTTCCGGTGGCCGGCCGTCGAACCGGTGGCGCTATAGCGTCAGACGATCTGTCTCGTGTTTTAGAAAGGAAACATTCTTAATCTTTGGTAACAAACAAAAGGAATTATAAAAAAACTGAAATTACGATTTTACCTTTTTCATTCACCTAATTTACCTGAATGCCCTTCCTCATCTTCTGCTTTTCCGGGTTCTTAACAAATTTGACGGAAATGCCCTCCGTCAGCAAACAATTAACAACAAGGGCATTTTGGGCTATCCGCTGTTTACTCATCCACCCATGTAGCAGTGGTTGGATAGATCGTAATACGACCAAAGGAAAATCCGACTACCAAATTCTCAATTCACATTGTTTGCTATTTTACCAAAATATCCTTGAAATATTTTACCTTTCTATAGTAGTTTACTAAAGTGCCCATGAAGTTGTTATCCAATTACAATTGCAGTTTTCTCCTCATCTTCAAAATTGGCTTTATCTTACCAAGAAAAGCAAAAGGGTACACATAAAAGATCCATTTTTCTATCATTTTCTGGGGATGTGGTTTTAAGGGGTAATATTGGTATAAGGACAGTTTTGTCAGAACATGTTTGAGTTTTTCAGTGGTGGTTCTTAACTGAAAATTCGCATAGAGATCCCGGAAACTTCTCAAACACGGACTAGTGATTATTCTGTATGGACCAAACTGCCCTTGCCCTGCGTCCTGAATTAGATCCACCTATTTGGGGGTAGTTTCGTCATGTTTGTGATGGATGTCAAAAGGTGAGGGAGGTGGGGAGTGGGGTCATCTTCTCACTATCCAAGGGTTTTTTTGTCTTTTACTTATATTTATTTTTCCGTCATTCTTTTTATAGTTTCAAAATCCGTTAACTTTTTTGTGTGGCTTTATGCCTAATTGGTTTTATCTATTTCTTCTATTTTTATATTTTTATTATTTAAAAATCAAGAAAAATGGGTGCATTTTCGGGTTCGGGTTATTGCTAATCCGGATCACTAGTGGTTCACACTTTGACCCCTTTTCCGGATCCGGGTTATTGGTTTTTGAAATTTTTAGTTAAATCTTGATGAGAGCACAAGGAAATTAGGCTTTGTTTGACTTTTGATTATCATTTCTATTGTTCTTTTCGAGGAAAAAAATGAAAAAGGGTATAATGGTAAATAGCAAGAAAGATGGACCGAGTAGTTTTGGTTTGTGTTGACTTTGGATTTCTTGTTTTTTCCACGTGGCAAACTGCTATTTCTCGTAAATTGATTTTCATATCGAAATTCACTTTTTACATTCTAAACACATGAATTTATCGGTTTTGATATTAAAAAAGTGCAAATAGCAATCTCCATTGTAAAATATCATTAGGGCATCTTCAACAATAAAATGTAGAAACGTGGTAATTTAGTAGTTTTGTTGCTTTAACAGCTATGTTATTCTTTATGCTAAAACAGAAAAAGGAAAAGAGAGATTGCGTTCAGAGAAATCTCTAAAACAATATTTTAATTATATCCAACCAATTAAAGCCATTGCAGTAAAATGTGTAAGAAAGAGAAATAATATTTTATTAAAAGTATTGAATATTTCATTAATAAAATTAATGTCAGAATTGTTAAAATAAAGTAGCTATTGATGTTTCTGAAAATTTATTTAGTTTGAGTTCAAATCAAAATACAATTAATTTGTATTTTCTTATTATTAATTTTGAAATGATTATTAGAAGTGATGGGTTGCCGTCTAAAATTGCTTTAAGGGGGTGTTTGGAATTGCTTATAAAAACAACTTATTGACTTATTTTGGTATAATATCTATAATAAACACTTTTGAATGTTTGGATAAAGAGCTTATATCAGTACCAAGCCAATAATAATAAATTTTTTTTTTGACAAGTGGGACCAAAATATTTTCCTTTAAATCATTTTGTTTCTAAATAAACGGTTTTTATATGGGAGTAATTGTATTTATTTGGTGTAGGGTGGTTTGGGAAATGAGGGTGCAACCACATCTACGTACAAGAAATCAAGAAAAAGAAAGGTTTGTTATTTTATTTTCTGGAATTTATTATTATATATTTTTCAAATAAACATTCACAGATATTTAATGGGTCTTTGCAGTCATTTGCTGAACTTAAAGAGGAAGAAGATTTTCTCATGAAGGAAAGATTACATTTAAATAGGGTATGTTCCTCAATATAAATAAATTATCTAATGCTTTTATTTTAGGATATTTTTCACACATATATATACACACACTAGAAGGGTATTCGTATAATGTCGCGAGATAAATCTCGATTTTAATGTTTAATTTTTATTTTTTGTCTCTATCGATATAATGCGATTTTATGTGGTTTTGAGAAAATGATTTTTATTTTTGAATGAAATATAAATTTGAAGAAAACATCAAAATTTGAAAAAAATAAATTGATATTAGTGTCAAATTAACTATTTAATAGTTCTTGTTATTTTGTGTAACTTCTTTAAATTGATTTTTTATTATAATTTAATTTAGATTTGATAACAAAATAATTTATTTTTGGTTTAACAATATAATTTTTTATATAAAGATAATAATAAACATTTTGTTACAATATAATGATTATCTTAATTATATTTTAGATTTTTTATATTTAAAATGATTGTTTATCCCGTATTTGATTATGTTTATCTGCAGTTAGTTACACGAATTTAAAAATGGAGTTTTAATAAGTTATACTTATACAAAATTACTTCTAATCTTGAATTTTAAATAATATATATTAATAAACAGTACTTTATATATGTATTAAGTTAAGCTTTTTCATATGATTATTAAATTTTCAATAACTTTTATTTTGTTCGAGTCTTTTTTGACGAATTCTAAGCTAAAAATATACATTTATTCTTTTTTATGTTTAAAAAAAATATTATTTTAATTTATTAAAATGATGATAATATGTTATTTATATTAAGAGTTTTTTTTTTTATATTTTTTTGGTGTTATCATGAATTTTCTTATTAATTTTTTTATGTTATTAATTATCAGGAGTTGGAGTCGATGCGGGTAACCATGAATAAACAAATTGTCACAAGTCAGAATTTAAGGAAATTAAAGGTACGTAATTACTTTTTTACCCCCATTCCATTTAATATTTTTTATTAACTTTTATTGTGTGATTTATTGACCAATTTTGGTATTTAACTCTATCATTAAATGCGCATTATTTTGAAAATATTTCATTTTATTATTTTTAATAAACTGAAACGTTTTTATTTGTTTGTTCAGATTGAGAAAACATCCGAGATGTTAGACAACGAACCCCAACCTCGGGCTCAAAAACCATATGTAGTTGAACCAGAAATTGAAGGTCACGAAAATGGGTTTGTTTTGCCTGATCTGAACATGACACCTGATGTGGAAGAACTTCTCCTCTAAGCGCTAAAGGAAAGATTCCGTGTGTGTAAATTGTGATACAAAATAAAACCTTTGCATGCAGACACAAAACAGTTGCCGGTTTAGAGAAGGTTTTTCTAAGTTACTAAATCTATAACATTGTTTAAGTTGAACATTGTTTAAGTTGTACATTGTGACGGATTTTTTGGTTTTTTAGTACTCGAAAAGTGCGTAATGAAAGTTAGCTTAGAGTATGATAAGTCAGAAAGTTTTGGTAATATTTTAGCAGGTATAACGTCGTTCTTACGTTGTTTTTAATGATATTATCTCATTGTTCTTATGATTAAATCTTTTAGGATGTTTCATTTTTGAATCAAGTGTAATCTATATTGTATTATAAAGCATTTGATAAAAACTCTTAAAAACCATTTTTTATGCATAAAGTATTGTTTATTAATGCATGTTACTTAAAACTCAAAATTACAAGTAGATTGTGCATAAATACAACTTATTAAACTTTCATATTTCAATTCGTGTAACTAACTGCAGATAAACATAATCAAATACATGATAAACATATCATTTTAAATATGATAAGTATAAAATATAATTAGGATAATCATTGAATTATAACAGAATATTTAATTATTATCTTTATAAAATGTTATATTATTAATCCAAAAATAAATTATTTCATTATTAAACTTAAATTAAATTATAAAAAAAATAAATAAAATATTAAATTATAATAAAAAAAATTAAAGAAATTACATAAAAATAAGAATTTTTAAATAGTTGATTTGATATTAACATTGATATATTTTTTTTCAAATTTATATTTTATTCAAAAATAAAATCATTATTGCTTTACTAAAAACACATAAAATCGTATTATAACATCGACAGAGACAAAGAATAAAATAGAACATAATAATCGATATGTATCTCGTTGCATTGCACGAGTACCCTTCTAATTGATAATATATGTTTCAAAATACAATGGAAAGTAGGTTAAATTTTGATTTAAATTGCCCTAATTGCCTTTGTATCCAACATATCATTCATAATTTTTTATCAAGAGATTATGCTTCTAGAATCTCATATAAAGTTTGTGTTTCGTGACCGAAAATTGTCCCCGAGCAGCAAAGGTTTGGGTGCAATTCAACTGTGTGAGGTCTTAGTTCGAGTCGGGGCATCATTATTTGCCGGTTGGACTTGCACGATTTAGCTTCTCCATGATGATTATGAGACCAGTACAGTGAGGACGTTTTTTTCATGACTTGCACTATACCTTTTTTAATTACTAAAAATCAAGGAATCCATATCACTTCAAGTTGTTTTTTGATAAACATAACACAAGTGTTCTAGAAGTTTCGGTATTGGTTTTCTTAACTTCAATTATGGATACAGGAATGACTTGAAATGATGATATATGCATAAATACGACATTAGTGAGCTGAGTAAATACTGTGTATGCTATCACTAATAAAAGAAAATGTTTATTTTTTTGCTTACATTATCTTCGCAAAATCTCTCTTTAAAACTCTATATAATTTCCAAACTATCTGTTTCTTACTACAAAAGTTTGAACTTCCCTTCTTTATTCATATCTGAATAATGTACAAATATTAGTTTGTTCGGTCTTTCTGCTACAAGTTTTTTGCTTCTGCATGTCATGTCATCTTCCCTTTAGGAATATGCATGAACTTGACATGCTTAATAAAGTTTAATGTTGTTGAAAAGCGATAGTGTTCGATAAATGAACTTGATATCATTTTATGTGATCATATATTGATAGTATCTTATAGGTTGAATGAAATGTTTTGTTTACATTATTTTCATGCATGTTTACTTACGTATTTCATTTACGCTGTTTTGTAACTCGGAAGCAAAAAAAAGGATGGAAGAAAACAAAACAAAAGGAGAAGAAAAGAAAAATAGCCTTAAAAAAGAGAAAAGACAAAAGAATCCAAAATGGATCACTGAATTTATGAGTTTAGTACCCTTTTTTTCCAAGTGTCTCTTACATAGGTATCTATTTGTATTATTGATAATATGGGAAATTGTTGGTCTTAATAATCAGATTTGTAAATAATGCATTTAAAATACGATAAAAATACTTAGAATTTTTTTCTAATACTTGTCTTATAATGAGTATATCCGATGAACAACACCCATAAAATATAACTCAAAAGAATTGACATCCAAACCTTAGAAACTCTCTAAGACTTAAGGGTTTGGATTTTGATCAATCATCATATCCATAACTTATAATATTCTCCATTCGATTTGGAAAATCCGATCGACCTGTCCTTTAAGGTCATTCCATCTTGAGTTTCAAGAACCAATATTTTATTCAATGTTATATTAGAATATGATGGATCTACTTCATAAATATTCTAAATCTGGAATCCGATGTATAACTTATACTTCGCAATAGAGAAAGATAGAAATTTTTACTTGTAAAAGTCTTTTAACTATCTGCATTGATCCAAAAACAAAAACCTTCAACAAAATCGAAAACTAGTTGAAGTAAGGTCAAGATCGTTACCAAAGTAGATTAGTTTGTTATCTACCAAACAGAAGATCAATACAAGATAAAGTCAAATAGTAGTCTGACAAATATACTACTGGCAAGCCGGATTTGAACTTCAAACTTGTTGGACAAGTTTGGCTCACCAACTCTTCCAACACTCATCCTAGTATGGAAACATGCTAGTATGTCAGCCAAAGTAAGTTCTAAACACTATTTTATTAGTGTCAAACTTCCTTTACTGTTTTCTCGACAAACAGAAAGAAGAGATATGATAACGAATGCCTACAGCAACTGCAAAGACTGAAATGAAAAGTACAAGCATGCATGGATCAATAAATCAAATGAAGACACGCATTAAAGTTGGATAATAACATTTAATGCAATGGTAGCTATAAAATGTGATAACTTGGAATCTCGTGTTCACACAGTGGGCACAAAGTCCCTACAGTGGCGGAAGTGCACGTCGACACTATGATCGCTTGCAAGTAATGGAGTGGTAAAGTACCAAGATCATTTCCACAGGGATTGAACTACTGAGAATAAGAGAATTTCATGAACTTCTTGAGCATGTTTCAGTTTATGAATAAAAGTTGGATTTTTGTTGGTGAAAAGCTTTAAAAGACGAATTAGACTTATAAATAAAAGATGGGCATGGATGTAAGTATTTTTCAAGACAAAAACAACAATATAATGGTCAAAAACTTATGAGGTGTTTATAAAACTTCTAATGTCTCGAAAGTGAAGTTTTATAAACAGTATCCACAAAGTTCCCACTATCACCACTCCGAAGCTTGCTGATTTAACTAAGTAGATGAAGAAATATTAAACTAAAAGTTCTTACTCAAATCTCTTTGTAATACAAAGTGGTAAAGAATGAAAATAACCACGGAGGTAATTAGCTCATAATAGACATACAAAACATAATTGAAGACAAGAAATAAAACTTCAATGAAATTTTTATTAAAATAAAAAAAGAATCTTTCACCACAGTGGTGAAGCTGTGGGCAAAAGACTACAACTAAAAAACTTAATAAAAGAAAATTAAATGCTAAGACTCAAAACTTAATAGTAAAATGTAGAGAGACTTCGGCTGAAATAGGATGATCCTCAATGAACTCAAGACTTCTTTATATAGGGGAGGAAAGGATAAGGATGACCATTTTTTACCCATAGGAAATTATCCCTTTAATCTCTTGTGGTTAAAGAGTCAACCCACCTCTTTCTTTTATCTAAAACTCAGACTTCAAAGGTGGCTCCAGCTGTACACAACTTTTTAGAAAGGTCTTCAAAAAAACTCTCTCCAAAAAGTTCATCTTTATCCATAATTTCATAATCTTCCTACTGTGGTGATACTATGGCACAGTCTTAATGTGATGGTTTTTGAAATAAATTCTCATTCTTTGTGTTTCGTCATCTTTTTAAAACTTTTGGAATAAAGGGGGGAAAGAAGGGAAATTGGGTGTTTAAAAGACGTAAAAATAGGAGTATAACTTTTATGCGATAGTTTTCTTAGGAAAAATCGGCATCAACATTTGAAGAACTATCTTACTCCTTTAGATATGAAAGAGTGTCTTCTTCTCTCACTCTGTTAGTGTTATCAAATTTGCTATTAGTTAGATTGTTTAGGATCACAGATTTTACCTTCCTAGTTTCCACAACAAATCTGTCATTCTTTGTTCTGATACAAAATATAGAATTCAAAGTGAAAAGCTATTGTGTTTGTATTCAACACCTCTTCTACAAACACCATCCTGTGTAAGTCATTATTTTTCAGGACCAATAGTTGATCGTAGATTAAAATTTGGATGATTAAGATTATGTTTCATCAGGGCCGTCCCTTGGGGAGGGCGGGCCGGGCGTACGCCCAGGGACCATAAAAATTAGGGGCCCAAATTTTTTCAATATATAAATAATAGTAGTTAAAAAAAAAATTAGTAAATACAAGATACATAAAAAATTTAGTATCTAAGAAAAGATTTTGGTATTACATTAACTATTAAAGACCCAAACATGTATGAATTATATATATTGGAGAAAAAATACCTAAAGAGGTTAATCTGTCATTCATTATATAATATTATTTAATGTTTTTCTAAGTTTTTTTTATATATAAAACCGACGTCTAAAACTACATGTTTCGAAAACTTTGATATATTCTCCATAATTTATCTCCCATCGACTCTTTTGATTGTTTCATTCTCGCGTGAATTCTATTTTTATATTAGAATATGATAGATTTTCTTGTTATTAGCAAACAAAACTCTTATCTTTTGAAAAAAATATCAACCATATAAGACGGTACAACTTATATCTATATTTAAAATAATAAAACTATAATTGTTTTTTCATAGTTATTCTTTATTATCTAATATTGAGTGTATAAATCTTATGTACTATTTTATCTCTAAAAGAAGAATAAGATCCCAAACTATCATCAACATGAGTTTTTTAATTTATATAATCGATGATTCCAGAAAAGTTTGTTTTAACCTTAACCCTATGTTCTTGAGTCTTCTTTTACGTAGGAAAGAGAGGAAAGTAATGATGGAAGAAAAATAAATTGATCTCGAGATTTTTTTACGGAAAGGAAAAAATATATATTAAAATTTATTTTTTACCTTCCTCTCTCTTCTCTATTAAAAACACAAACAAAAAACTTTATTTTTCTTCTTTTCTTTTATTTTTCTTTTCTTTTCTCATTCTTTTCTTTCGTTCCCAAATTCGAAAACATAATATAAAAGTTTAAAATGGTGYTAATCTTCTCAAATTCGAAAACATAATATAAAAGTTTAAATGGTATTA